GAACGAGCACGCGTTCGAAGGCCATCACTTCAACGAAGTGGATCGCGGCGGCGTCCTCACTGCGTTCCAGGCGCTCTTCGCGGACGCTGCGTCAGCAACGTGGCGGGTTTAACCATCCCTGGTCGCCTTGGCGACCGAACGAGGACCCCGTCCCCCAGCACCTTCATTGCTTGGAATGCCAGAGCCCTCATGTGTCACAAGCGCCAGCGCCGCCGACGCAAACAGGCTGCCCTGCTGAAGTACATGCGCCGCCAATGCGTCATCCTCATCCAGGAGGTTCATGGCTCTGAGGCCCTGCTTCGCACGTGGGTGGACACGCAGCCGCACCCGCGCAAGCTCTTCTTCTCCGAGTTCGTCGGCGACGATGACGCCGAGGCCCGCCCTGGCACTGGTGGCGTTGCTACGCTAGTGCCCTGGCTCACACCAATGCAGCTCGAGCAGCTTGCTCCGCACCAACTGCCTACCTTCGTCCACGAGGAGATCGTCAAGGGCCGCATCCAGACTGTCTCCATCACCAATGCCGTCACGAACAACTCCATCGTCATCATGAATGTCCATAACCATGAGATCGACGCTCGCGGCCGCGCCCGAGTGCAACGTGCTTGGCATCAGCACCGCACCTGGGCCGAGGTCGACTACCAGCACCGCGCCTTCATCGCCATGGGTGATTTCAACACTGCCAGCCGCCCACCGAACAGCTTCCTGCAGCCCCAGCCTCAGCACGCGCGCCTTGCGCTGGACAACAGCGCCCGTCAGCAGCAGCCTTTCTGGAAAGCACTCTTCGATTCCATGCTCGAAATTGAATCCGACTTACCGACCCGCTTCAACAAGTCCGACCTCTCCGCCTCAGCGATCGACCGCGTTTTCATCAGCTTGCCGTCCCATGCCATGCTCGAGCTCACATCGCAGATCAACATTGTACACGACCCTGCCATCCTGTCCGACTCTTTCCTCAGCGACCATGCGACCATCTCCTACACCATTGGCATCAAGCCGCGCACGCCGACGAACGATCAGGCTATCCCCCCCGCGATCTTCCGCGACCCGAGCTACGCCAAGTACCTGGACCAACTGATCACCCACACCAAGACCCAGCGCGCCCCCATCCAGAACCGCTGGCGCACGCACAAGCGCCTCATGGTCGAAGCCGCGAGGCTCGTCCGCGACGACTGGGTCAGCTCCATCGGGGACGGCAACAAATCCAACCATGCCGACGGACGGGTCCTCACGGCGCGCTCGATCTCGCGCTCGGTCTGGCGCCAGGATGTTGCTCTCGCTCGCCGCCTACAGTCCAACGCCGACCTCGGCGCCAAGTACCTCTCGATCACCGACGGCCTCATCACGATCAACAACCAGCCCGAGTTCGCTGACATGTCAGCCTCGCTCCACCGCGACTTCGAGGCTCGGCAACGCTCTCTGGCGCAAAGAGCGGCCCAGCGCCCCCCTGGTGCGGCAGGGGCCCTCGAGCCCGAGAAACTCCGCCGAATCTTGCGCGCCTCGCAGAGGCGAGCTCTCCTGTGGGCCCCCTGGAAGCGTCGTCTGGTCCTCCAGGGCATCAAAATCTCGGGCCCAGATGGCCCCCCTGGGGTCGCCAGAGAGAGCTGCGATATGGCTGACGCCCTTCGCACCTACTGGAAGCCCGTCTTCGCACACAAGCTCGTCGACTCCGTCAAGGTCAAGCAGTACATCGCCGAGCACATGCCGCTGGGGGCCACCATCGACGTGGGCGCGCCGACCAAGACGCAGATCCGCGCCTTCCTGGCTCGCACCTCTCCGTCGGCCCCTGGTCCTGATTGCCTTCCTTATCGCGCCTGGCTCGCACGCGACTCGTCGCTGGACCTGCTCGAGGACCTCCCGTTCCACCTCTGCTCGAACGCCAATTTCATCCACGACCTGAACGACTCTGACTTCGCCTTCCCGCCGAAAGGGGACAACCTCGTCGGCGAGTTGCAAACCGACAGGGCGCCCGAGGACACGCGCCCGCTCTCGCTCAAGAACACTGATATCAAGGCCATCGCTGGCGCCGCCAACTTTCTCCTCAAGCCCGCTGTGGCAGAGCGGACTCACAAGGCACAACAGGGTTTCGTAGTCGGCCGCAACTTCACCAAGCACATTGTCATTCTTGACGCCGAGATGCGTCGCGCTGGGATACGTCCAGATGCTGCTGATCACCATCCTGTCTTCGCCAGCTTCGACTTCGCGGCGGCGTTCCCGTCTTTGGGTCGGGTCTGGCTCTTCGCGGCTCTCGAGCGCTTCGGGGTTCCCATCGGCCTCATGAGCCTCTTCCGCAACATGTACCACGCTCCGAACAGCTTCCTCAAGGTCGACGGGATCCGCCACTTCATGTTCGCCATCGAGTCGGGCGTCGCTCAGGGCTGTCCCGCCAGTGGCTCTGCTTGGGCCATTGCGATGGACCCGCTCGTCCGCCACCTCGCCTCCTTCATCGAGAACCCCGACGGCGCGCCCGACTTCGACAAAGGCTACCTCAGGGTCTGTGCGGACGACACCGGCCTGCTCACATTCTCGTTCGACACGCTGCGCAAGGCATCTGAGACTTTTTCTGCCGCCGAGGAGCTCGCCCTTCTCGCCCTCAAACCACGCAAGTGTGTAATAGTGCCCCTGTGGGCGCCTGTCTCTCCTGCCACCGCAGCCCAAACGAAAGCGCTCCTGGCCGACCTTTGCCCCTCCTGGGGTGGCTTCACGATTTCGGGGCGAGCCAAGTACCTCGGGACCTTCCTTGGGCCGTCCTCCTCCCTTGCCCTTCAATGGCTCGCCCCAGGGCAAAAGTAGTGGCAGCGCAGTAATTTGCTAAATCTTGTCCAGTCTGGCAGCGACGCCACTGTCCGCCTATATAACACTTCTGTCCTGTCCACGCTCAGCTACGTTGCTCAGTTCTTCCCGCTCGACTCCAAGATTGCTCGCCGTGAACTGTATGTCTTCCACAAAATGCTCAGCATGCCGCCCAACTCTTTTCGTAAGGTAGATCTCATTTCGATGGCGGAATGGAGCCCGCCACCTGTCCTTCGTTCAGCCCAAGTCACATGTGCTGCGGCGGCCATTCGTACAGCCACTTTCACACTCAGTGGAGAATGGGAACCGTTCCTCCGCCGCCTGCGAGACACCGCCTGGGAGGAGAGCACGATCCAATCCTTCCCTCGGTGGGAAGCCGGGCGCTGGCCCCCCCCCTTTTGGGAAGAGGCCTCGTCCATCGTGCAATTCTACCATGCCCTGTCTAGCGGGCAGCGTGTCTCGCCATTTACCGCAGCAGCCGTGGCCCTGGCGAACCGCGCCGCACGAGCTGAAATTCGAGAGGCACCCGACGCCGACCCGCCGCGTCGCCCGAAGGTACAGAGGGCGGTCGCACTCGCGCTGCAGCGTGCCTTTTTCTCCTCGCCGTTCACTGTCACCCTCACGAAGCGCCTTGCAGCGTGGGGCCTTCAGAATACGCCGCCGCCCCCTGAGCTCGCCACCCGCTGGACTACTCTCGCGAAAGAGCTTGGAGAGGTCCGTCCTAGCTGGCGCTGGGCGGTTTTCAAAACGCTCAGTGGCGGGTGGACGACCACACACCGCATGCATGTACTTGCTCAGCGCTCGTGTGTATTCGGTTGCCCGAACGCACCCGATTCTTTTCCCCACTACCTCTCCTGCTCCGTCCTCCTGGGCCTCCTCTGGTCCCCCGACCCCGCTCCGCTCCTTAGCACATATACATCGTGGGGCTTAGGCCCTGTAGCAGCGTACCCTTCCGAACCTGCCAGCGACCTCTCGTTGCGGCAGACGATTCGCAGGGTTGTGCTCGCTTTCCACATGTACAACAAAATGAAGCAACACGCAGCGCCGTCGCCAGCAAATATTGCTGCAGCGATGGCCGCAGCGAAATCACTCCTGTGGCGTTGAGCCGCTGTCTGCCGTCTCACGCCTTGCCTCACTATCTAGGCAGGCTTGCGCGTGGGCTGGGCTGACAGACGTGGCCGCCTCAAGGTACGTTCACTCCTCGTCCTCCTCTCTTCCCTCTCCCGTCTCCTTCCCTCTTCCCTTGCCCTCTTGCCGCGCCTTCCGGGCACCCCCTCTCGCCCTGGTACGGCCAGGCGCTCGGGAGCCCAGGTTTTGCCATCTCCTTTGTACCCCCTCCCATCCCCGTGGCGCCTCGCCCCGAAGTCTGCCGAGGAGGAGAAGGAGGTCGAGGAAAGCTGTAGAAAGAGGCGGAGGAAGGAGGAAGAGGGGAGCTGCGCTGAAGGCGCGGCCGCCCACTGGGAGGCGATGGCGGGTTGAGCCTGGCAGTGGTGCACAGCCTGTTCTGTGACCAGGAAGGGACAATTCTCAGGGCAGCCTCCTGAGGGCCAGTCGGCGCAAGGAAGGAGGGAGACACGTCCAGTTCTGGCATTCTGATTGCCGACCCCCTAGCGTGACTCTCCGCGTGATGGGCTCCGGGCTCCTGGCGTTCAATGTTCGTCTTGTTCTCGCCCTCAGTCGAAGGTCGGAGATAGCGAGAAACACTGCTGCAACATGGGGCACTTCAAGACGGGCCTTGCCTGTGATGAGTCGCGAGGTTGATCACTCGTCTTGAGCGGTGGCGTGGGCGAGGCCCGCGGAAGCCAGCGGGATTAAGGCATAATCGCATGTACTCGCAGAAGCTGGTGGGAATGTGCCAGTCCTGCCGTAGGGGCTTCAGGCTCGGCCACATAGCGCCGCCCTCCTCCCTCCATTCCTCTTCCCCTATTCAAAGACCCCAGCACCGCTAAAATCTGTGGCGCTGTGACTGAGAAAGATCAGCCCATCCCCCATGCCTTGGGCTTTCTGTCGGGCGCCAATTTCGGCCCAATGCATCGTATCCCCAAGAGTTCGACTGTCCACTGCCAGGAGACCGAATTCGATGAAATTGTCGGGAACGACATTCACGGCCGCCGCAAGCTTGTGCGACACCCCCGCCAACGTGCAATCCTGTGCCAAGGATCACGATCGTCTAAGCATGTAGCTCTCCATTTCTACCCCGTGCCCACCAGGCATGTTTGAGTTCGGCAGAGCAGATCGAGAAGATGAACGAGTCCGACGTTGCTCTTTTCCGGAAGTTCGACCCGAGCAGGGAGATTCTGATATCATGAATTGTATGACAGGGTGACCAGAGCATCAGATTTGGATGACGTGTGATCGAGGCACGTCCGAGGATGACCATTAAGAGTGCAGCATGTTGTGTTTGAGCGTCTGCTCGAGTGATCGATTCCATTTGCCGTGCCATCTTGTTTGAGCATGTGGCGTGATTTGTAGAGTTTCGGCGCTGGCGGCGGATGTGCCTGTCGTGTAGTAACACGGTATTTCTACGAACAGAACGGCTGGGACGTCTCGGCGCTTCTTGGGCGTGGGCGCCAGAGGTCATTATTGGAGATCCGCAGCGTGTGGCATCGCGAGGGCGCGGGTGCGATGCGCGAGTTCTGTGACCTCAGGACCTCTGCGGAGGTCCTCCCAGGTCGCAGGAGGCCTCCAGAGGTTTTGGTGACGCACCGCGAGCAACGAATGGTCAGAGCATCTCAATCCCAGATCCTCGGCAGGTGGTCCAGAGCCCCGATCTGGAGCGCCAGCGTAAACACAGACAAGCTCGCAAGGTGACCCAGCGCGTAGTCAGGTGACTCAACGGCTGCGGTTTTTCACCAATGATGCAGGGAGGCGGGGGAGGCGGAGGAGGGCGAGGAGGGGGGACGTATGGCTGCTGAGGAAGAGGAGGAGAAGGAGGATGAGACGGCGCTCAATCCAGAACCACGTTTACTCCCTCCATCCGTGTAGCTCCTGGCAGCTTGAAAAACGCATGTGCGCGGCGCGAATGTGAGAGCCACAGTTTGAAAACGACCTGTGCTCCATCCATAATACTGGTGGATCGCTTTTAAGACGAGTGCGCGCGGCGCTAAGGCGAGACTTTGTGTTGACCCCTTCTTCATAGGAAGTGTTGCAAGTTTGAAGCTTCGCGGTCATAAGCGGGAAGGAAGTGACGAAACCCGCGGCCCGCTTTACCGACACGTCTGGTGGCGAGGAGTTGTCTACAAGGAACAGGGAGCACGATACAGCAAGGGGGGAGGGGGAGAGGTTCAGAAGAAGGACGGCTTCGCGAGCGCGGCCCCCCAGAGGAGGAGCGGGGCGAGCCCGCGGTCCACGACCTGCGGCTCCTGAGCGAGACGCTGGCGCGCATCGCCAGGCCCCCCGTCCCGCCTCTGGAGCCTGGGATGCCTTTCAGGGGGTCCCCTCTTTCTCCTCCCCCTGTTTTTTGTCCTCCTCATCCTTCATCACTCTCCCTTGGTCATAGCCCCTCCCTGAAGCACTCACAGGCGTGTCCGTAGGACGGTCCAGGGCCTCACCATTCATGATCGTGAAGAATGATATTGGAGAGGCCATGCGGCCGGCGCCGCCGACCCTGAACGAACGACGACGACGACGACGACGACGACGACGACGACGACGACGACGACGACGACGACGACGACGACGACGACGACGACGACGACGACGACGACGACGACGACCGCTCTCGGGGGCCTCTTGGGGGTAGTTTTGGGGCCTCTGCGGAGGCTCTTGGGGGCCTCTTGGGAGTCTCCTGGGGGCCTCTTGGGGCTTCATGGGGGTCTCTCGGAGCTTCTTGGGGCATCTTGGGGGGTTTCTTGGGGGCGTCTGGGGGACTCCTGGGAGCCTTTCAGGCCGAGGGCTCGAAATGTCCGTTCAGGTCGCCCGTCTGGGCTCCCTCTTGGAACCGTCGTGGGGCCTCTTGGGCTGTCTTGGAGCGTCGGGGAGCCGACACGGCGAGAGCGCCAAAATCTTTGAAACCCTGAAGGTATGATTTTTATCCCTTGGGGCCCTCTGGGATTGCTCTTGGAGGCCTCTTGGGACGTCTGAAAATCTGTTGAGCCGTCTGGAGGCAACTTTGGCGTCTTGGACCGATAGTTCGGCGATCCGGGGCCCGCGAGGACCGTCTTTGGGGCCTCTTTGGGCACTCTTGTCGTGTCTTGGTTCATTCTAGGTCCCAGAACCGCCCGGGGGGATGCGTATCTGGGGGGCACCCCCTCCCTGACGCACTCCAGGGCGTGTCAGTAGGACGGTCCAGGGTCTCACCATTCATGATCGTGAAGATTGAGATTTGCAACCGGTGTACGGATGAATAGCGCCGCGCACATTCGTCTTGGAGAGCCCGCTTCAAGACATTACGGACGAGCCACCGAGAACGGAGACTTTGTGGGTACACGTGCGGCTAGCTGGGACAATTACTCTCGGGAATGTCTTGCGTGGCGGCGCTGGCCAGGAGGCCACGGCGCGCCCTCCTGGGGCGTGCGTGGCGGGCACGCGGCTTGCTGCTGGTGCTGGGAGCTCTCCCAGGCGTTCCCGACGGCTGGGCCTCGTCCAAGGGGCAACGTCAGGGAGGTTCGGCTCGGGGAGGGCGAATCGGTCCCCAATCGCTCGCGCACGGTCGCCAATGGCATTGATGGCCCCTGCAGGGAGGGGAGCCTGAGGGACATCGCCAGCGGCCAGTGCGCCGGGTGCGGGCTGCTGCTCTGGGGGGGGGGCGGCCTCGAGATGCTCTCGAGGGCGGTTCTTCCCATTTCCGCGACCATGAATTGTCCGATCACCGCCGATTCCATCGCCGACTTTGGGCCCCAATCGCCCATTCACCGCCGATTCGGGCCTGAGAGCCCGCCCCGCCCAGGAACGCACGGACTCTCCAGTGTGTGCCTGTGGCCGATCTATCGGAGATGTATCGCCGGTTCCAGGTCGACGTTGCCCCCCCTGAGCCGGCCCCCCCTTTGTCATTCCCCTTGTCATATCTAGGGAGTTGGGTCCCGTGAGAGGTGCCCGAGGCTGGGGAGGATGTCAAACTCGCCCCTGCCCCCGAATCTGCCTTAGCTGATTCGCTACCCCCCGCGGCGGCGCGCCAAGGGGGGTAGCGCGAGGGGGAGAGGGGAAGGGCCTTCCAATAAGGCTCCCCTGATCTCTTTTGAGAACCCTCCCGCCGCCTCAGAAGACCGCCCACCGCCCTCTCCCTGCCTCATCCCTCGCGCGCCGCCATCCGCCCTGTGTATGCCCAGTCTATCGTCCAGCCGAATATGCTGGTCCTCTTCAGTGCTCCTGGGTAACGACGAGCGCTCAGCGCTCCAAAGACTCTCTGGGCGCCCTGCGCAGAGCGATTCACTCTGGAAGAGCTGCCATGTGGCACCACGGCGTGATGGGTCGCACCCTAGGCCCGCTGTTTTGTGAGAAGACGGAGGGGAGATGCCACCCATATTCTGGCACGTTAGCGCCGCCCTTGCGCCGCCCCGCCCGCGCGGCCAGGGTCTGCCGGTGTGCCGCCGAGGAGGCCGTCGCGGCCGCCTGCAGCGCGCTCGCCATCAGCTGCAGCCTGGTCGTGCTTGACCGAAAGTTCAGCGAGGAGAAGTCGCAGGACACGGCTCCTCGTCGTCTTCGTCGTCGCCCGTCGTTGCTCTCATCACCGTCATCGTCATCACCACCGCCATTGGTTGTTGCCATATTTATCGTCGCCGCAGCCACCAACACCATCGCCACTGGGTTCACCACAGTACCACAGTCACCCTCGTTTCGCATCTCATGGTGAGCACGCCCATGTTTCCCCATGCTGTTTGAGGATCTATACATGCCGAGCCACACACACACCATAGCCACATATACAGCTAGAACATTGGCAAGATGCGCCGCCGTCCAGCTACCATCAGCGTCCCAGCACCGTCATCTACGCACGACTACAAACGACCGACCCCGAACCGAGCCACACTCCGACTCAAACATTGACCACTAACGACCACCAACAACGACAACATCAGCATATGTCAATATCACACGTCACAGCCTCCAGGGTCCGACCAGAAATTGCAGTACACCACAAACTTCCACCAATTACCGACAACTACGAACCTCACCACCAGCCACCAACCACCGATGTCCACCAGCTCAAGCGGCCAGGATTGGTGGCAACCAGGATGCACACAAGCAGTCCGAGCTCCAGCAATGCAGGCCAAGACAGTGTGGCTCCAACCATATGAAGCCCCCCCCCACAGTGCCGTATGAGTTTCAACGGTGCATTGAACCAACGACTTCGTCCAAAGCAGGAACTGCTTGGAGCGGGTGACACCGACGTGGGCCTCCTGGTAGGTGTGGGAGTCGACCTTGGACTTCCCGCCTCATGTGCCAGACCTCATGCATCCGCAGCTTGGGAACAGACTCAGGGGTGGCCCGATTCCAAGGAAGAGCGACCACGAGTACGAGTCCTGAGAGTCCCCTGCCGCATCCACGAGGCTCTGATCCTCATTGGCAGCATCCAGCAGCCGGTATCCAGAACCACGGCGACCGCAACCAACGCGAGCACGACCACCACCAGCGCGAATCTGACACGCCAGCCTTAGACGGCGCCTGCAGCCGGAGGGAGCACCGTGGCCTGACCTTTACCGACCTGGGGCGTTGGCCAGCTCTCCGTCGCCAGAACCGCTACGCCACCCGCGGGGACGCGCACAACAACAGTTCGCAAGAGCCCCCGAATCCGAGCTTCACAATCCAAAGTTGATGAGGTCTCGGTGCACGGAAGCATCAGAATGTCCCCATTGTTGTTGCGCCACCCGCGGACAGGCGAAAACAATCACGTGCAACAAATCGCAGCCCGGGCAGGAAAGCTGCCCTTCTCCAGGAGGGCGGCGCCAGAGGGCGAAGGGGACCGCGCATCGCGGGGCGCGAAGTTGGGCGAGCCAGGAACCGCTGCTGTTGCATCAACCGCGAGCCTTGACGTGCCCGCTTTCGGCCAACTGGCGAGGGTCCCCCTGCCCAGGTGCCGACCACCCTGGATGGGGGGGGCGCCCGAGGTGCGGGCAGAGGCGCTTGCCGAGCAGAGGCGGCGGTGGATCGACGGGGTTACAAGCTGGAGATGCATGCGACCGTCATGGTGCATAAAGGTGGCATGCGTGCTGGGACTTGCCCGGCTGCTGGTTCGTGCGTTGAGGCGGTGGTGTCAAAGGAGGTAATACAGTGACTTGTTGATGACCCGATGTCTTCCTTTCCTGCTGAATCGACCGCGCTGGAGAAAGCAGCGAAGAGTCTCGCGGATGCTATGAGCAACTGGCCGTTCGACAGGTGACCTAGGCTTAGGTAGATGCAGACAGAGGGACGGATGGGGTTGGGCAGATGGAGGGGGATTGGGATGAGGAGGAGGGGGACGGGGAGGGAGAAGGAGGAGGAGGAGGAGGAGGAGGAGGAGGAGGGCACGAGGACAGCGCGAGGACAGCACGAGGACAGCACGAGGACAGCACTAGCACGAGGACAGCACTTGCGCGAGGACAGCACTGGCACGAGGACAACACTAGCACGAGGAGGGGAAGGGGCGCCGAGGAGGAGAGGCGAGGCCAAGGAGGAGGAACGCCGAGGAGGAGCGCCGAGGAGGAGCGGCGGAATCGGGTGGCGGAGGCGGCGGCCGGGAGCGGCGGCGGGGTGGCACCGGCGGCGGCGGCGGGCCCCAGCCCCGGGGCGGAAGGACTGAGGGCCCGGCCCGCGGCGGCAGGCGCGGTGCGCTCGCTCCGTGGCCCTCCTCGGACCCGAGGGCCCCGGGGCACGAGAGGAGGAGGAGGAGAATGAGGAAGAGGAGGACGGGAGGAATAAAGATTGTCAAACATAGATTCAGGCACTTGGATTAGTGACGGGTGCTGATTCCGTTCGTTCCCGTTTTAATAGCTAATGCGCACATCGGTCACGGTAGAGAAGACCCACGGTGCCTCATATTCGAAGTGTTTTTATTTCAATGGTTTCGCCCTGCCCCCCCCCAGATGGCTACAGCTTGGGAATCTGTTGGGGTCACCCGTGAACTTTCTTCGGGCGCCTATGGACCATGTCGGAGGGTCTTGGGGGCTTCTTGAGGTTTCTAGGGGTCACCCTCGGAGCGATCCGAGGCAGTGCTGGGGCTATCTACAGGTTAGGGAATCATCCTCCTAACGCCACACCGAAGCCCGATGAGCAACCGGAAGACTGGTGCATGCTGTTGCGCCCCAGCGTTGGCCCGCGCGCTGGCGTCAGAAAATTTTCGCGAGCCTGATCAAGCTGGGGAATATTTCTCCCAACGCCACACCGAAGCCCGACCAGCAGCCGAACGACTAATGCATGCTGTTGCGCCCCAGCCCACGTGCATGCTGTTGCGCATCGCAGCATTGGCCTGCAAGGCCAAGTCTCCGTGGATCCCACTCCTTGTGGGTTTTCGGTATTGATTATGTGTTATACGTGTTTTAAGGAACGAATTGGATCCACGAGGCGTCACGCCCAATACGATTGATCTTCAGGACCGCCATACTGTATCCTCGTGACTTTCACGGAAAAATAGCGCGATCCAATCGGATCCACGGTTTTCCACGCACGAACACAACTGTTGCGGCTTGGGGAGGTCTGCTGGGCAAGCTGTGTGCTGTACGCGATACAAGCCAACACCGCATCGCCCGCATCAGCGACCGGCTGCAAGCCAGCATTGGCCCGCGGACGGGCTCTAGGAGAATGTGTCACCCAGCAAGTAGGGAGCCCTGGGGGCCATCGCAGGGATCAGCGGGAACATCTTGGGCCGACTTGCGGCGTTCTTCTGCCATCTTGGGCGATGCTCAGGGGGCCCCAGGGTTTCACGAGGCACAGGCTTATCCGAGTTTCGGGAGCTTCGACTCGATCGACTTCCCTTGGTGTACGATGGCCTCCACCCTCTACTTGCCCTCGCCCTCCCCTCCTTCCCCTTCCGCGTCGTCCTCCCCTCCACGCCTCCTCGCGTTCCCGTCGCCCCTCCCCCATCTGCACCTCCTCCTCCTCCTCCTCCTCCTCCTCATCCTCATCCCTGTTCAAGTATACAATATGAATTCTCTTCTCTCTCCCCTGATTTCGTCCAGAGAATTTTTCCGTCTTCTCCGCTCATTGATTTCTTACACACAGGATTTCATTAGTTGGTTATTCTTCTGTGTTGTCTGAATACGTTTGGTTCCGGTTCTTCCAACATGGTGTTCCCGCTGCAGCGCCGCCCTCATGTAAAAATCGTGTTCCCGCTGCAGCGCTGGCATTCCCGTGCCTCCGGTTGTTCCACATTGTGTTCCCGCAGTAGCAGTGGCGTGTTCGGTCTTTTCCAAGTAGCGTTGTCGCTGTAGCGCTGGGCTCGTTCCAGGCTGCGGTCCTTCCAAATCGTGCTCCCGCTGCAGCGGTGGCCTCATTCCCGTTTTCGGTCCTGGCCTCGTCATCCAGTGCCATGCCACGGTATACAATGCGATGCTGTGTTGTGTACCGTTGCTCGATTACACGCTGTGCATTCTTATGTCTTGTGATGCAACGCTTCACTACGAGATGCCACGCCATACTATGACATGCAATGCTTTGCCGTGCTCTTCCACGCCATGCTTTTCCATCCATCGCGTACCCTCTTTTGATCACTGTTTTGCTTAACATCTGACTGTGCGAATAGATCGGATATATACGCCATGGTAAGGGATGGGCGGGAGGGGTAGGACGTGAGATGTGACGCTTGCGCACCTAGATTGGCCACACCGCTCCCCCTCCCCCGACGAGAAGGACGATGATGAAGATGATGATAATGATGATGCTGATGATGATAATGATTGTGATGCTGGTGATGATGATGACGATGACGATGACGATGCCGATGTTGGTGATGATGCTGATGATGGTGGTGGTGCTGGTGACGATGATGATGAGGATGATGATGATGATGATGATGATGCCGAAGCATATTATTATGATTATGTTGCTGCTGATTATGGCGATGGCGATGATGCTGATGCTGCTGTTGATGTTGATGATGATGCTGACGCTGGCGATGCTACGGATGAAGATGAAGATCAAGATGATTATGAATGTGATGATGATGAGGAGGATGAGGATGATAATGGTGGTGGTGATGATGATGATGCTGATGATGATGATGACGAGGAGGAGGAGGATGAGAAAGACGATGTGGATGAGGATGCTGTTGATGTTGATAATAATGGTGATGGTGATGATGGTGATGCAGATGATGATGATGATGATGATGATGATGATGACGACGACGACGACGACGATGATGATGATGATGATGGTGATGATGATGATGCTGATGCTGATGCTGATGATGATGATGATGATGATGATGATGATGATGATTGATGATTTTGGTGGTGATGACGACGAGGAGGATAAGAAAGATAATGTGGATGAGGATGATGCTGATGCTGCTGCTGATGATGAGGAGGAGGAGTTGGACATGGGAAGGATGAGGAGGTCGAGGAAAGGTGGACCAGGATGAGAAGGGAGGGGCGATGCCCCCCCCACATCTAGGCGACCCCGATGGCGGCGCGCAGCCCCCCCCGCAGGAGCAGAGCGAGCCTCACCGAGCGCCCGACGGCGACAGGCCTGACGCTGGCGGCGCGGCAGGCGACCCGCCCTCCGCCGCCAACCGCGCCGTCCGTCCTCTTCGTCGTTGTGGTGCGTCGATCGCCGCCGCCTCGTTCGTCGCCGCGGTCATCGGCGTGCTGATCGTCGTCGTTGCCGCCGTCGCCTGCCCGCGCAGGCGCTGGTCGTCGCCGTCGTCGTCGTCGTCGTCGTCGTGGGCGCGCTGGTCGTTGGCGTCGGCGTGGCCGTCGTCCTTCGCGGCCGCCGCCGCCGGTGTTTTGGTCGTCGCAGTCGTCGTCGCCGTTGCCGCGCCGCCAGCGTCGTAGCGTTGTTGATCGTCGTCGTCGTCGTCGTCGTCGTCGTCGTCGTCGTCGTCGTCGTCGTGTCTCGCCGTCGACGTCTTTATTATCCTCCGCCTCTTCCTTGCCCTTCATCGGGTTTATTGGGAGTCAGTGGACGCGGGCTCTGCAACGGTGTGTGGACCGAGCGACTGGAACGGCGACTAGCCAGCCTTCCCAGAGCTGCGGCCCTCAACGTTCCGCCCACTGCTTGACGGTGGGCCCGTGTGGACGCCCTTGTCCGTTCCCGTTCCCTCCATCCAGGTTTCGTAGTGCCCTCGCTGCTTCCCAGGATTTTTGCCTAACGCACGCGCCGTCCGAAGGGCCCTGCATATGCTGGCTCCTCGAGCCTTCAACCTCCACATCTGGCAATCTCGCTCCCGCAGCGCTTCCCAACGGTCGGTTTCCTTCCCTCCGTCTCTTTCCCTCTCCTTCTCCTCCTCTTCCTCCGTAGCCATTTTGGCTCAAGCCGTCTTGGCACGAGGGGCGCCGACGCACCGAAGTCTCTCCTCTGCCAGCCCAGAGGCAGAGAGGCGGCAATTGTGATTTAGGCTTCTCGATCACATTCTATTTTTCGTCGACGACCCCTCACCTGTCCTCCCGCCGCGATGAGGCGCAAGCGAGGAGAACTTGCTGCTGACCGGCTGATTGTGACAGTGAGGAAGAAGCTCGTCCCAGGCGAGATCGACCACGGTCGAGTGGACTTCACCGTGCTGGGGATCATGATTCAGATGACTCGCGCAGTCACTTTGGCCGTTCAGCCACAAGCAAATGTAGCGGTGCGCCCACCAGTGTCCTTGACTACGCCAAGATCGACTACGGGAGGCTGGCTGCGGGGATCACTTCAGCGCTCCAGTCCGCGATTGCTGAGATGGCGTGTTCCATGCGCAGCAGCTTCAGCTCTGAGGTTCAGCAGGAGGTGAACGCCGCGCAGTCCCTCATCTTAACGGAGTTTGACCTAGTCAAGCGCGAGGGCGACGCCAGGATGGCCGCGATTGAGGCTTCTCTTGAGCAGCTCACGAACAGGGTCAACGGACAGCCGCCTCCACAGTCTTGGGGTGCTGATGCTGCGGGCGTGGACACCACCCGCCCTTGGGCTACACGCGGCGCCGCACGGAACTGTGACAAGCTCGTCATCGACCCCGCGAAGGACGCGCGGGAACTTGCTAACCAACTGAAAGCCATGAAAGCAGGAAGCGACTCCAGTGCTCGAGGTTTCAGCAGCTCGGGCAGCGGAGCTGGTGGCTTCCAGGCTCCTGTTAATGAGTGTCGGCGATGGATCGGAACTCCCCCCGGAACTATCACAGGCTCGCAGAGGCAGGCCCGCTGGGAAACCGCCATCAAGCCCTTGCTGCCGTCGCACATTCTCGAGAACGCGTCGCCCCAACTGAAGGGGGTCTCCAAGAGTTTCGGCATCTTCTTCCCTGATAGCGCTGGTGCGCGGGCATTTTCGGAGCTCCTCGCCGACGAGGCGTTGGCTTGCAGGGGCCACCGCACCGCGGCCACGGCAACGCTGCGAGTGCGCTAGGATCTGCTTCTGGACGCGAGGTCGAAGCAGCGTGCCGCGAGCAAGGTCTGGGAGGAGACCCTTGCCCTTCTGCGCAAGTGCAAGTGCGAGCTGGAGGGCTTCCGCCTGGGGGTCAATGGATACCAGGGCCTGGTCCACCTGACATCCGCGAGCGACGCCTTCGAGCTCTACTGGGTCATGGGCAGCGGGGCCAGCGGCTTCACTTTCGAACACGTCGTTGGACCTTTCTCTCAGTGGAAGATCCCTGAGTCTGAGGTCGCGGACCTGATT